TCAAATGGTGGAGGAAATGAAATTCGTCACTTTTCACTGCAATGCGTTTTACCAAATTAACTGAGGTACAAACCAATATTCAGAGATACATAAACATGTTCTCTTCCCTGTGAGTAAAAAGGTAAGCTAGTGGAATTCCAAACGACCATGTAGATCAGGTAGAACAAACAGAAATCCGTGAAGTAATACCAAATCGAACTGACGTGCGAGAGACTATATTCAATTTTAGAGCCAAAAAATAACTGACGAAGGCGTGAAATACACAAGGTCAGCTTTCTGACTATAAGAAATGTTTGTTCTATGTGATAGGACCATTTGAGGTCAGCAGACACGAAACATCCAAGATATTTGAGGTGTTGTGACCTTTCAACTTTAAAGTTATTGATCAAGATATTGGTAACAGATGATCCAGAAAGAGTTGATGGCCTACGGTCAATGGAAAACAAAACCAATGCATTTATTAGGGTTTAAAAAGGTTAACATCATCGGACCATTCAGAAATGGAACTTATGGCTGATTGAAGGGGGGTAGTTGAAGGGGTTTTGTTGTGAGATGCACCACCAACCACTATGTCATCGTCACATTTGAAACTGAAAACATTTGGGGTGACTGGTAAGTTTTGGATATAAAAGGAGACATTCGAACAGCACAACGTCATTTAGATAATGATACATCCCCGGTAAAACCCCACATTTAACATTTAATGAAAACCAACAGCTGTGAAACATTTCACTATTGTAATGAGTTAGATTTTTCTAAACCTTGTCTCACATCTCTACAGAATGCACATCTGATCCTGAGGAGTATAATTTCACAAAGGGTATGAATAAGCAGAGAAAATATGGAACCAAATGAATCAGTAATTAAGCAATCACTATCATTGAAATCGTGAGAAAGGTTTGAATATGGGTTACTTTTATGCACCAATTCAATTGAAAACTAATGGAGTGATGTGCCCATGGGGAATGTAGGTTTTAAACATAGTGCTATGGTACATCAACAGCAAATGCGGTGGTGCATGTGTGGCAGAAGCTCAAAAGTCGCAAATTCGAAGCATTTTCATCTGACAAATAAACCACGATAATGATATTCGGAGAAACAGCTTACCACTCATTCATTTCCACATCTCTTAATGAAGGTCCATTTCGAACCCCCGGAGCGGGACCTTTTCGAGGAGGTTTAGTGGGTGGAGAGCTGAGTGTAATTTTTCCGGATTCACCCAGTTGCGGTGTGACACGAACTGCGGTTGGCGGGAGTGGAGAGGTTTTTTCATTAGAACCCGGCACCGGTGGAGAACGACGACGAACACTGATTTGGAGAGGAGAGGATCGACTAAAATCACCAGAAACAGCAGCAGTATCGGTGGATGTGGGAGAATCACGTCTGGAGGCGCGTTCAACACTGACCACAGTACGTGCATGGTCAAACACTTCAGCACCAGGGGCGACTGGACTGCTGGTGTTTGGTGTGGAAGGATTGATATTAGGAGTTCGATTCCATTTCGCCTTGGTTCTCTCATCCGGTCCACCGCGGTTAGAAAAACTGGGGCGGGATGTAAATCGTCTGCTTGGCACACGTCGAAAACTGGAAGCGGTTTTCGGTGCAACAGATCCTGGTTCTGGGATCCCGCGTGGAGTGGACACATTGGGACTGGACGGTGCACTGGGAGTGCCTCGTGCAGATCCAGCGCGACGTTTGCGGAAGCTGCTACTGCCAAACAAGTTCAAATTGTGCAACTGATATTCCGTATTAAAACTGGCATGAAATCGAGAACGTAGTCTGAAAAATTGTCGTCGTTTCGGTGGAGATGGGCATCGATCTGTGAGACGGAAAAATGTGTGATGCTCGACTGCACTTTTCCATAACTCTTTACAAGATCTACTATCCGGGAGAACAAAACAGAAGGCGATCTCAGTAACTTTGCGCTACAAAAGAGATTGGAAGGGGGATGATCAATTAAATAGTTTTGCATTACCATTCTTGAGAAACATTCTATTCAATCTTATAATTAATAAGATGAACTTCTGATCAAGGACCTGTGAACAGAAAGATATTGGACAAAACCCTCAGATGACATTGATCCTACTGGAGAACTTTTGCGTTACGTTCATCATCAACGACATTCATAGTGGGTTTGTCACCATTTCCAATGAGTAAAACACACTTTGTGGTTTTGCTTCATTCTACTTGATTTATTCCGAATCCATTACTTGTTATGTGTTTTTGATGTAATGACTGTGACTTGGACCTCGCACCTTGCGGTTGAGAGCGAAAACGTGTTTCTGTGATCTACACCACCGTTGACGAATAAAACCCTACCCTCCGGGCTATCTCTTAACTCAATTCTCGATAATAATCCTGTTCAATCAAAGTGAATTCTCAATTAACTGGGTCTGCGTACTGATCCTCGTTGTAGGTCTCACTATTTGGTTGTTTTTAAGATATCGACTTGTTTCATACACGACCTCAAGTTTTATCAAAATTGTTATGATGAACTCCCGGGGAGTAAAGGGACACAAAGGAAAATCAGTTCGAACATTCGAATGTCCCTGAACTAGCATGGATTGAAAAAAACCATTTATGGCAAGCACACTGTCAATAACAGAATACGTTTTGTTTTATTCGAACAAAGCACTCCGTCACGAATAAACTGTATCTTGATTAGAAGACTTCATGATAATATATTTATTATTCTACTGTTCATATACTACCATAAACTGCTGACTAAATGGATTCACGTCGGACGAACGTCACTTTCATCCCGAATGTTTGCTGTTTTGTGTTTTTGACATGTAATTCCTCAGTTATTTCGGTGTGAATCGAGGACGTCACAAGTTAAGCAGCTCAGAACAGAGTAGCATTTCAATTTCTTTCGGTGTCTTCAACCCGTTTCAATGATTCACCGCCCTTCAGACCTCGTTCCGCAGTCGAGATTGGAACCAAGCTCGAAGAAAACACAATGTTCTACAGGTAAATGGAGTAAAACCTAGACGGGAAAGACTGTGTGTAAACTAGCGACGCCAAACAACACTCTACGTGCACACAATGACGTGCACATGACTGAGTGACTAACATGTCCGGGTAATTTGCATATCGCAAGGTCGCATGTGGGCAGCGGGAACAGGAACAGGTACACCGAGACCAAACGAATAACTGAGGTAATCGAATGATCGATGAACTTATCACACTCGTTTTCTCTACCCATCCGTCAAAATTGGAGAAACAGCGTTTCCAAGTCGGCTACAACGGACACCAATATGACTATCGTAAAAGAGTTCAATGCCCGACATAAGAAGATTCCACAAGTCTTGCTACCATAAAGATTGGTTGATTATAAACAAAACGAGATGAGCAATTTTGCCGAATAGATTATTTCAAATTCCCCAACTTAGAGGCCGTTCATTAGTCGATGACTTATACAGGATCAAACACTCTGCCTGGCTAAAACGGAGCACTTGATCAAGCTGGAAAATGTTAGGCTAATCACTTCTATAACGTAAGAAAGAACAGTATTCTCATGAAAGATAGACAGTATTTGCTCTTCAGAACGCATATTCTCGTTCACATCACATCACAAGTGCATGGGTGAATGGGTTACTCTGTAGGCTGCTCCAGTCAATCTCTACGAGGACTGAGCAAAAAAGCTTCCGGATAAGCAGTACACGTACGAGGTATAGATGACCGAACAAGGAAAACCTGAACTGTAATATATTGTGAATATTGTTCAGTGATCGTAACTCACAGAATCAAATATCAACAGCCCAGTTTTAAGGGTCGCTACACTCGGACTGTAAGAATGGAACACAGTCGACACCACTGGAGAGCGATGATTTTCTACGACAACAAATGTGATTTAAGGTAGAAGTAGCAGCAGTGTTGATCGTTTGCGAGCTATCTTTGGTGATGATGCACCTTCAAGGAGCACTGTGTTTGAGTGTTTTACAGAATCCAAGCGTAGTAGGCGGTTGCTAGATGATGAGACACAGTGTCGTTGACCTTTGGAGGCCACCACAGGGGACAACATTGCTGTTGTGCAAGCGATAGTAGAGAAGGATAAGCGGGTGACAATGGCACAGTTGGCGAAAAGCATCGGGTTCTCACCGGGATCATTCCATATCCTCCTACATGGGAAGCTCGACCACTGGAAGGTTCGCGCATTCTAGGTACCCCATCAGCTCAGTGAGGAATAGAAAGCAGTTCGGGAAAAGCAGTTTGATGTTGCACCACGCTTGCCAGGTTTGCTGGTGGAGGTTCGAATGCAGTTTGGGAGATCTTCAGTAGTGATCTTCATTAGTAGTGATGATACCTGGGTACAGTCTGGACCCAGGGACCAAGCAACAATCGACGCAATGAACGCCGGTTAGAGGGGCACCGCCTTGGAAATTCCGACGCGAACGCAGTGTGGCAAAGCAGATGGTGACCGTGCTAATGATCAAAACCGTTTGTGTGGCTACTGTACCGCTAGTTCGGCTAAGCACAGCCACCGGAGACTAGTACACCACCAACTGTCTGCCGAACGTGCTGGAAGCTGGAGGCATCGTTCAAGGACTCAAGCACGAGGGAACTTGCTGTACGATGACAACGCACCTGCACCCGGGCCCCATATCGTCGGCGATTTTCTGCTCATAAAACTCGTCCAGTTGGTTGGTTACCCATCCCAAAGTTCACACCTGGCTCCGTGTGACCATTTTGTGTTCTCACATGTCAAGCGCATGATGCGGGCAATCTGATACGAGTTACTAACAGCTGCAATAGAGGCCTTCACTGAACTGGTCGAAGGGTTACCCGCTTTGGTATTGTCAAGCAGGCTCACCAAATGTTTTGACCGCATGGAATTGTGCATGAACGCTGGTGGAGAATACCTCGAGAAAATGTGATGCTTATTTTTGTGTAAAGGTTTTTGTGCGTTCAGAAACATTTGGCTTAGCCCTCGTATTTAAATAAATATCGTATTAATCCTAGTACGGATGCACCTCCCTGATGATGCATTTTTCCTTATACAACCAGGTATCTTTTTTGGCATCATCTTCAAAAATACTGATGCATAGTTGACACCATTCCGTCTTGAGATGAAAAGTGAGTGCGTACAGTATCAATAGATATGTCCTCAGCTCCAGTTTCAGCTCAGCCCGTCAACACAGGAATACAGACTAAACCTGTTCCTCCAGATAAAACTACTTATGCCCTCAGAAGCTCAACGATCTATATCATCGGTTTTCCCAACTTTTAGGGACTTTTGTGTATACCTTCATTTTTATTGATCTATTCGTGCATTTCTTTTTGTCTTTATTCTTCAGAGACATTTGGGCAAAGACCGGAGGTTTATTCATAAACACGAGCTCTCTCTCCCTGAGCGGGACTGTTCCTCATCCAGAAAGGAAGCTTGCATAGTACATATGCTAACGCCGAGAAAGGCCAGCCCCCTCCCCATCCTGGTCTTAGTAAGGGGAACGTGTATGTTTTCGAGTGGTGTTCAGGCATTTGCGAATCATAAATATTGCTTATGTTTGGTTCATTATGAAATCGTCAACGTCAGCTGACTGTCTCATTTTGATCTGCATTTCCTGTTGAAAATAACTCAGAGATATGCATAAAACCTTCAGGTACACACTGCACTCACTAGACCGGAAGAAACATTAAATTTTAACTCTCAGTATCGAAGAGGTTTTAGATTTTATCCGCAGGTAATTCCTCCTGTCCGTTGACTTGGAAATGTATCACTCCGGCTCAAATTAGGTAGTTTATTAGGTGCACTGATAAGAAGGCTAACACCAAGAGTGAAAACAAAGTCCATGTAATTACAGGACGCCAAGGACGTTGTACGGATAATGGTAATCCTATTTTAACGTAAACCCACATTGTTTATAGTCATCAAACATGAGAAGTCGTTAAAGCGAGAATTTCACGTTCCTATTGGACAATGGCGATTTCAGCTTGTCAGTAGGCCCATGGGGATGCGAGACCGACAGTGACACAACTTCCAGAACAAATATGGTTGAAGAATTCGATCCCCTCAATTAATGCAGCTGGCTCATGCGTTCGTAACCAATCCCGAGTTGATCGGAACCAAAATACCAAACAACAGTGATGTGCCAACAGAAATAGTGTTTTCACATTGTACTCTCATTACCGTGTGACTATGCGACCGTTATCAATAAAGCAGATGACACCTCATCAAATATCTCAAATTTCTCGGAAACTAGAAAATATCTGTGATGCATTTAATAGAAGAGACTGGAATGCTAAAGATCATATTGAGTACGAGTAGTTTTAAAAAGCAACGATAAGTCTCGATGCAAAAGGGGGCACTCACCGAGGCCTCGTCCTCATCCGCAACGAGGATTTTCAATTTATTCCGATTCATTTCCAATTTCAAAATCATTGACCTAAATGAATGAGATGAGAAAATGTAAAATGCGCTTTCAGTTCAAGTTCGTCGTAAATTTGGTGGCGAAGAAAAACAAACAAGGTGAACAAAAGGCGTTTGACAAAAACGACGAGAGAGACAAGAACATTGGTAACAGCACTTCCTACCACTGTGTTGTATTGCATTAGGGCGCTTAAAACGGTCGAGCAATCTGATTTGTGAGTCATAAACTGTCTCCAAAGGAGCAGACAATAGTTTCCCTGATGGTGCCTTGAACCGTCAATGAGATTAGTGGCAAGCATGAGTTAAGAAGGCTCACAAGCATTATGTAGAATTGACAGGTGCTTCAATACAAGCGACCAAAATGAATCATCGTGGTGGCTCATGAGTTGAAGTGTTCTGAGCGGATAAAGTTTGAAATTTATCTGTGGAGTGAATGGCTAACAAGTATCTTTCGCAGCAATGTCAGGGTGGTTGGTGTGATGATACTCATATACATAATTCAGTGGCACAGAGTCGAATTGTCGAAACAGACCGTATACTACCACGATTTGAGGTTTCGACCGGTTCTCTTGTCTTTTAGTGGCCATCAGCCATCACTTAGTGGTCCGTGGCACTCGCTCAGTATCCACTGACTGTACTTTAGAATTTACGGCCCAGGAAGAATGAACACACCTTTGCGACATACCCAAACTTCATAAAGGCCCATTACGGCTGAAATTTAACTCCGTAACGTGACTTGGTAACTAAGTATGTACCATGTGACTAGTTGTGTTCAACACAGGATCACTTTCCAAATGGTATCAACTTTCGCGAAAATAGCAGAAGCGAACATTGAGACGATCGGTCGAAGTGAGTAAATAAACACATTCACGCTGGAGGAGCGGGACAGTCAGTGATGAAAACCGAGTTAGAACTGTTCAATATGCAGTGACAGAAAATGATCATAATTTGTTTTTCGTCATATGGGAATTAATACTAAAACTTGAAAGGTCAGCATAAAACTGGGCAGAAGGTCAAAAGCCAATGTGCGTATTGAGGGATAAAATCTCTGCACAGTTTGATCAACTAATTTATGCAACCCTCGAGGGAAACAGGACTGANCGCTCGCGGACAAAAAGGTAAGTGGAGAAGAATAGGGCGCACAAACTAAGACGTTGTTCTCTTGGGACTGTGACTGGTTCACTACATTATCAGTACCACGTTAAAATAGCCGTTGAGACTTTTGAAACCAAACAAATCACTGTTCACAAACTTCTAGACCGGTCAGTTAGTTCAAATGGACACAGATAGGGAAAGACAGAGGGGTCGAGAATTGTGATCGGTGGTTAAATTCACGAACAATCGGCTCGTGTGAAGAGATTCAGATAAATGTGTTCAAGTGATAATAACGGCATTCTCCTCATCATCTTACATTTTTTTCCTCCAAAAGTCAGTCCCTATATTACGATGTCTTTCCTATTCCTTGAAATTACCAGCGAACTGGAGAATTCTCTTCGATCATTCATTCTCAAGCTTCTACATTAATATACCGTCACAAGGTAGCTATAACAGTCATGATTCATAAAATAAACTGAAATTGGAGGACGGCAGAGGTTACAGAGTTGTAATCACTTGATTAAACTGATTACTCGACACAATCATTTGATTTTCTGAACAACAATTGATTTCTTGAAGTAAGAATGAAACCATTTAGAGGAGCGTATATAGAAAGCAAACTTAAAGTGGCCAATACCTAAACCTTCACACTATAGTACCGATCACAGAAAAGCGAAACCCAGTGCGTTGTCTTTTCCACCGAGCAAGAATGATTTGTTCCAACGGAACACTGGCAAATGAACTAGAGCAACTACAGATTACTTTCCGGCCGAAAGGATACCCGGACAAGTTAATCGAAGAGCATCTGAAAACGAAACCGCAGAACAGCAAACTCTATATAGTGCATCAGAAACGACTATTTATCAATCTACCTTTTGTCAAAGAACAGTAAAAACAAAAGTGGATTGTTAACACATTGAGGTTGCCATGGCCCCGACGATATGACATAATCGACCGTTGTTCGAAAAACCAAAAGATGGGTGAATGATCGCGTTATCAAATCAGTTTAATCAGGTGATTACAACTCACAAATGTCTTCTGCTCCTTGGAAAAAAGGACATCAGCTTTCCTATCTCAAAGCGCGGTAACTCTTCTGAATCGAAAATAGCTTTTGTCTTATCAACCATATTTGTATTACTTTGAAAGCTTTTGAAACTGCTATCTCTGACCGGCTACATGCGCTCGTCGACGGAAAAATGCCACTAGGTGATTGTTATTGTGGATTCCACCGACGTCATCCCACAGGCAACCTGCTAGCTCTAATCGCGCATTCCTGTTTGACCGCACCTCATCACCACCGAGAAACTCATTTGGTGTCACGTGACATTTGAAGACCTTTAACCTACTCTAAGATCTGTTGTCAAGATATTCCACGTTTTGATATTACCGGTTTTCATATCATGGATGTCATTTTTCCTCAGTAAATGAAACATCCGTCCAAGGGAATAAGTTTAGTTTGGGCCATCAACTATGGACGCAGGTATTCCCCACGTGGCCATACTTGTAATAATTACCTTTTTCCATTTATTACTGATCTTACATCAAAAACTCCATTTATGTTTATTATTTCTCTCATTATGTGTTTCTCTATCATTCTCTATAATGCCTCACTCCTCATCATCGATATCGATCACGATCAATAAGAATGCATCACTGGCCTCTGATCTGGAACTGTTCTCCGTTTGGGGTTATATTCCCCATATCCATTTTAATGCTTCAGCGTGTTCTCTCCTATCTATTTTTTTCAAACATACTCCTTAGGGACTCTCGACAAAAAGGATTACCCGCTTCCACAGGTTCTCTTTTTCTTTACCGGATTTCTCCTCAGATGTCTTCTTTGTTGATCTTTGTTTACATCAGATTCGTCTGTGGCACGAAGCACAAAATTTGCTTCCTAGTCCATAATGGACGACTTTTTATACACATCGCCCCTAACTTTTATGCTAGATTAAAATTCATCCAACGCGTGAATACTGAAATCGGGTACAAAGTTGAATTCGGTGTTCTGCTCTTTCTCTTCGGACTGTAACTTAAAGCCATCAAACTAATCAATGAACTCACTTCAACCTCCAGTCGGTAGTCATAGCCATGGATTCACTTCACCATCATTTTTCTGCCGTCATCCATTTCTCTTCTGCTCCCCAGAACTAGCTCTAACGATAACTCCAATCATTTCTTTTTCCTGTCTGATAGATCCTTCCAACTATGGAATGGATTATTTTTAGCTTAAATCAAGCAATGACAAGACGTATTTGGGCGACAATCTCTTTAACAAAGGTGTATTCGTCACGAAGATCCAGTCTCATTCGCATCAGGTGCAGATTTGCTGACCAGTTGTTGTGAACCCCTATTGTGAAATCTGTTTTCATAGAGTATGATGAAGTTCGATGAGTCCATCCACAGTGACGAATGAATGACGTGCCGTGTTGTGTTTACATGTAGCAAGTTCCTGAGACGGTTAGTGTGTCTCGTTCCTGTATCCAATTCTGATGGTTCGTTCAAGCCAGACAAATTGCACATTTCCGATCATACTGACACTCCATTCCCCACATGAAAATAACAGATTCCAGACGCTTGACAGTTTTGAATAACGGTCTTATTTGAATCGTTTCGCTACCTGTTGTTAAGATACACTGTTCCAATCATTGTGCTTCACATTTCTACGTGCAACATGCACGGGTATCAAATTCTTGTGTTTGATGAAAATGGAGATATACCGTTGATGGATCGTGGACACCTGAGGATCCTTCGTCGTTTACTGCCGTTCAGTATTTTATTTCAGTGATGAACATTCTTGTTTTAAATGCACTAATATTTGTTGATGCACGGCAAATTAACTTATAAACAAATCCACACAAAAATATAAGTCCTTTTGTCATTCACCAATCCACCTTTTTGCGTGTGTGCGAGAAAGACGTTGAATGACAGATAAAGTACACGTAGATCGATGCCGAAGGGATGCGATCAGGATTGAACGGTGGATAAAGTGTGAGATCAGTGTGTTCCGAAAGAGAACATCAAACGGCCATCAGAAAGAGCAAAGCTGCACGAATTATCTTGGTGCATTGAGAGTGCTCGGGGAATGGCTTGAACAGGGATCCTATCACGGAGGTTCAAACAGTGTATTCAAATGAACAAACACACCAACCAGAGAAGATCTTATTAAAACAATCCTCTTTTGAAATGCAAACACATATATGTATGACAGCTTCAAAGACTGCTAAGTGCAAAATATTGGAATAACGGTTTGTAGACGGAATTCAAAGTAAGAACTATGATTATGGTATCACAAACCAACAACTACCAACAATTATTTCCTTTTTATGGTGCGAATAATAATACAATGTTTTTATTTTGTTAATTTGTCGAATATAAAGAAATACAGAAAATTTCGGAAGGGAGCCTCGGTCATATAAAGGACGCCTGGAGAAATACGCTAATAGGGAAGATGGATGGCGGGATTCGCACTCAAGACCTTCAGATGGCTATGTCGATGACCTTGACCACTGTACCGCCGTGTCACATCTCTGTGTGGCGAGCAGTGAGATAGTGCAATTTTATAATAACAACAACCTTTTGCTTGGTTATGCGAAACCAGTCCTATAAACTGCACAACTTCGAGCTCTAGGTCCCATGAGGCTCCGACGACTTAGGCGTGTGACAATGGGGCGGGTCCTGCTGAAACTGCTCAACAGCAAATTCAGATACCGACAGAGAAGTTCAAACCGTGGAGTTTTAAGACTGGTTTACGCGAATGCTAGTGACTGAAAAGGCCCGACTGCAAATTGCGTATGAATACAACTATGATATAATCATGAAGGGAGGATTCATTATGCAAAATCACTGGGTCACTTGTCGCCGAAAGGCGATAATAGCGTTGGCAATCTTCACCCCCTTGTTTGGAATCTCTGAAATTATTCA